TACGCGCTGCCAATGGCATTTACCAGCCATGGAGACGAGAGACCAAAAATACGGCGGCGGCGCCCGTTGTTGTCGTTGCGCACCATTTAGAGTGAACCCTTGGTGCCGGCCGCGCCCATCAACACCAAGAAACTGGAGCCATTGCTATAGTTGGTGGCTTCATCTTTCCCAAACCTTCGAAACAGAACAAATCTCCATCGACGCTTTTAATAGCGCTCTTTTGGTTTACATTTGTCCTTTTCCGGTTTTCTCGCACTGGGCAATGGCGGTGCAAGTTGGTTTCCCTTTCATCGTTTGATGGTGGACATGCAAGGCGCTGCTAGCTGCTTCGTCCGACAGTCGGCGGGCTGTGCTTCCACATGCAAATCCTTGTCTTTTAGCTTGTGTCGTTTTCTCTTAAGGAAGGTCGACCAATCTTGAGAAGAGGAGAAGAGACTCCTTCGTTTCCACGAGAGTGGCTACTCCTCCTGTAAGCCCACCGCCCATCATCAGAAAACAAGCTTCGATTCGACAGCCACTATCCCGGACCATTCCTTTTCCTGACTCGCCCGGCGCATCGCTGGTTGCCAAGTCTCGGGTCACTGGAGGCGCCGCCATCAACCGCCCAGGGAAACTTGTGACATTGATTATATCATAAGCCGAGCGTCCGCTGAGCTTCTCCCTGCCTGCAGCTGTTTACGTTGAAATGCAGCTGTACCTTGCCGGCGAGCCGCTGGCATGCAGGATCTCAATGCGAGAGATATCCCGTGGTCATGCGTTCCATCTTTTGTTCAATGATGCAAGCTCAGACTCAAGCTCAAGCTCAAGCTCAACTACTCAGCCTTGGAGTATTGGCATGCAGCATGACGGCAGCCAATACTCTGCGACTGCTTATTCTTCGTGCTGCGACTCCTTGGCATCGCAAGGTGCACAGCAAAGAGGTGGCCCGGCGAAGAGGAAGTGAAGGTGAAAGTGTCCAATGCGGAAACTTGCAGATGCGGCCTCTTGAGTGGATGCCCCAGACCTGCGCGGGCATCGCGAGAATGGCCCGTCCGCGCGACCCTCGTTTCCGCCCTAGACCGATTACGGCCTCTTAGCATGTCTGCATGTGTTTGAGACTTCGGGAGGCAGCACAGAGATATTTGGGTGAGAGAGGATCTCGAGGAGGTAAGAGGGCGAAGGAAGAGATCTGGCACTCGGACACCACTGCCAAGAGATCCAACGGTCTCCGAGTTGACCTCTTTGGTCCTCGCGCGACAAGACTTCATACAACGGGGCCCCGACTCCCTCTCCCAAAGCAACAAAGAAGAGAAGAGCATTTCATTTTCATACAGCAAAGTGAGGCATCGACTTCTTGGCATTGGAACCCGACTATAACATGAAGAGAGGCGTTCATTCGTTATCGAGAGATGTCGAGAACGAATAAGTTTCGATTTTCCAGCGGACCTCCCGGGATGCCGTCTTGGTCTTTTGGGCCGAGCGGACTCGCGGACTCTGGAGATTCTCTCTGTCTCCCAGCTCTGTTCTTGAATCTTTGCCCAATGCCGAGCCGGCCGTGATGTTGATCAACCCCCCATGTTTTTCCCGCCCTCCTCTCGGTGCTCCCCACGCTTTCATCTACGCTCGCCCAGCTTTAAGGTGGGCTCTTTCGATGTGGGGAGAGTATGCCAGCGGGCGCTCGACAAGCGCGAGCAGAAAAGCAAGATTTATCGCTAGTAAGGATTGCGAACACAGAGTACACTAATGAAGGACGAGGAGGAGCGGTGATTACATGGCATTTACGGCACCTCCTCTCATTTCGTGCTTGGCTGGGAACGGCCTTGTTTGCTTGCTGCCCCTCTCTCCTCCATCCTCCGAGGTGGGGGGAACAACCTTCGGAGGACTTGTAAGTGGGCAATCGTCATGCCGATGCCATTCATCATCAGGGCTTCATTAAGTTGGTTAGAACTACAAGTCTACACTTGTAGGTGAGCTTTCCTGAACGGTGAACCCCAAACTCTGGTCATGGCTAGCACGGCGGCGGCGCGGGAGATTTCGTCACTGCATGTGCTTAGGGTGTTGACGACAGCACGATAGACGCACTTGTGTCGGGCTTCCCTGGCGTGTCCGTGGTCATAGTAAGGTAAGAACCCCGGCCACGAAAGCGTGGGATGTCAAATGTGAGGTGTTTAACGGAGTATGTAGTTCTCCTCAACTCAGGCCGCATGCGCGTGAGTTGTCGTGACCCCCTTTTTTCCAGTATCCCCTTCTTTCCAAGTGGCTTCCTCTGACAGGTTTAATCAACGAGCCTGCAGGCTCGCAAAGGGCCATTAGAGATTCGAAGACGCAGTAGACAGGCAGAAAACCCCCGCGTCGAATCCCAGATCTGCTTCCATCCCCTGTCAGATTCCTGTCGGAAGGTCGGTCGGGTTATTCGAAAGAAATACCCCGCATTCTGGGACGAGCGAGGGGGAGGAGGAACGGAGTGATTGCGACGCCGCACAACTGTCCCATCTCCAAACGTTGACTTTTCTTCACGCGGTAGCGGCGCGTAGCGTTGGAAATTCGTCTCCCGCCCCCATCCCCCTCCATTGCTCTCGCTCGAATCCAAGTGCTCAGCAAGGTGGCATGCAGAGTGCATAGATATGAACAAGGTCGCCAGGGGACAAGAAGAGACACGCAAGACGAGAGATCGACAGGTTCTCGAATCGCGGGGCCAATCAGTCACAAAGTCCCCCTCCTCCTGCCGTCGTTGATCGATCGATTGGGGGATTCAATGATTCTGCCACTTCTGCTAAGCTTATGCACTCGTGTCGTCAAGCTCACTGCTTGACTGCTTCTCCCGCGGGGGCAAGGCAGCAGGCTAGCAAAGCAAAGAAGGCACGAAGGATAGTACGGAATGTTAGCATAGTGCCATTTCATTAGAGTTGCAGTGTAAGCTTCTCCAGTAGGAACTACCGGCACTCTGTTTCTCTGCTTTACTCTCGTCTGCTAGTGCAGTATTCCATCAACGTTCCAAGGTTTTGGGTGTGTGTTCTTCCCTTCCTCGGTGTCGTCAAACTACTTTTCCTAGTGCGAGGTAACCACACCTGGGGAACACATAGCTTTTGGTGTGTGAAGAGCTTCCTTGACACATGAAAATGTGACGAGAGCTCTTTGAAGCTCGTCCTTGCCCCGTGGGCGGTCAGAGTTCAAAGGGGGGGGGGGGGTTGCAAGCGCCACGCGACGATTTGCGACGATCACCCAACTCTCGGTGCGTGGGAAACCCAAATCCTTGGCAAAGGTTGAAGCCAACCATCTTCAAAAGGAGCTACGCTACTGGACATCTTCAGAACAGGAAGAGCGGTGATTTCCCCCCTCCATCTGCTTCCTCCCCCCCTTCTGCGACAAAACCAAACGCACCAAAGGAGAAAGCTCCGACATACTGGAGACGTGAAGAAGATGGAAGGTCTGCCGGACTAGCGGTAGCGGTTCTCCCCCTTCTAGTATACGCTTCACCACACCACACACCCTCCTTCTTGCTCCTTCACCGCCGGAATGACTGGATTGAACTGGTGGTGGAGAAGGAGCTGTTCTCGGGAGACCGGATTGGGAAACTCCAGACCTACTACTCCTAGACTGGATCCCCCTCTATGGTAGTGGTGGTGGTTATTTGGCAGCCTGGGGAAGGATGAAGGAGTAGGGGCTGAAGCTGGGCCTGAATTCCACACTACTCCTCTCGCCATGAGCCAGCCACATTTTCATCTGACAGCGCCGGTCACCGCTCCGACGAGATTTGTTGTTGTGTATTTTGCTTACGAGCTTAGCCGACTCGCGAGCTTGTTAACACGCTAGATTCCTGTCGAGGCACGCTTCTACCGGTACCCTTCTACGTCTGTGCTTGTGGCTTTTTTCTGTTGGCTTTCGTACTCCAAGGGGCTTGGAGGGAGCAATTGACTCTTGTAAGCTCGAGACTTTGGGAAAGTACACACCCTCCAAAGGGAGAGAGGTCAAGACGTCTCAGGTCTTTTCCTTTTGGGCCGTGGCAATCCGATGCCGGGAAAGTTTGCCTGCATTTGTGAGGATTGTGGTGTGGTTGATTTAGATTTCAGGGTCCTTGGAAGTTCGGTTCACTCAACAGAGGCAAGGAGGCACGGAAGAACGGAAGAAGTGATTGTCACGGCCTCTCGATGCTGGAGGGCGAAAAGTGAAGCATGAGGCCCTCGTCTTCCTAGCACCTGCTACTGTTCAATCGCGAATGGGAGTTGGCCTCGATACCCCCTTGCTGGGCGTTTCGCATGAACGTTTCTGAAATCTCGTTCCCGAGGGGAAGAGAAGAAAAGAACAGAAGAAAGCTTGACGAGACGAGAGCGAACTGTTTGGGCTTCTCGTGAGAGGCTGCCCAATCGTCATTAGGCATCGAGTCACCTGGTCCACGGGCTTTTGAGGCATGGGCAATGACACATGCCTCGCCTTCATCTGATCTCGTCGACCTTTCTTTCTCGTCTCGGTTGCTTCCAGAATGTTCAAGGGAAGAATCTCGACTACATGGTTGCTGGGGGAAAGGCAGAAAGCCTTTCAACTTTGTGTGCCGTCGCTGCCGTCGGTGGTTGTCGAAAATGCCATGAGGCTCAACTGGTGTTAAATCCTCGTCCCTGGCGCATATACACACCATCATCTTTCCTCGGTTCTCGGCGCCCGGAAGCTCGGTCGTAGTAAAGGTTGGCGAGTCACGAATGATTGAAGCGTGAAGGGTTCCCTCTTTTCTTTCCTGTGCCTTGTGAGCCCAGAGGTGAGGTTTCATGAGCCGCGGATCTTTACTTCCTCCATGGGTTTCGGGGAGGGATATCTCCCATGGGAATGAGGAAACGGAGTCGGGAGCGCCATCGGCCGAGGGAGGGTTCGCCTCGTTCGCCTTGCTCCGATGACGGCTTCCCCGGTTTCAAGGTTCAGCATGAGTGTGCGTGTGTGGCTGGTGCTCCTCGAAAATGTAGATCGCTGTCCATCTTCTTTTGTCCTTTTTGGGTGTCCTTTTCTGTGTCGATCATTGAGGGCATTGAAGGATGTTTCGTTTCAAGGAGGCGGATGCTGTCGCCAAGTGGCACTGCCAAGCACCTAAGGTATCTCGTTCCTATGTCGGAGAATTTCGGTACATTTGTTACGTTCTTTGTAGATTCGCCATCTTTGATGGACATGGTATTTTGGCCAAAAGTCTATCCAAGTTACGTAGAGTAAAGATCCTCAGCGACGCGGTGATCATTGATCCCATTTGGACAGCGTCGGAACGTGGCGGTTACCGGGTGTGGTTTGATGGCCGTGATGGCATAAGTCGAAACGGTTTGTATGTGGAAGTGATTGACGGTACGATTTGCTTGGTGATCGACGGTCACGAGTGGTGCGGCAGGACCATGTCAATCTTGTTGCCTTGCATGAGGCTAAGCGATGTATGCCAGCCACTGTCCATCGCGAAGGGATAGGAACGTGAAGAGGTCGACGGCCAAGTTCGATTATTGATGTTGATCCGGGACTTGTCGAGTCAGTTGCCTGCTTGGACTATCATTTTCGTGTGGCATGTCGTGTATCGTCAGATATCGGTTTGTTACGTGGAGGTCGTATGTCATATTTTGCTGCTTGCCTATGGGCGAGGCAGGTGAGTACAGAATCAATCATGAGGTTGGACATGTGAGTCTGTGTAGGTAAGCTGACTGGCCGAGTGAAATGTGACGAGATGTGATTCACGTGTGGTTTGGTGGTTATGTTTTCCTCTGCTTACGTGTTGATGGGCATGCTGAGCGAAGACGTTCCATCGACTTTGATGCCAGGCTCAAGAACAAACGATATTGGCATGTTACTCATTCCAAGTGGTCCATCAGCCAGAGCCCCTTTGCCAGAAGTTCTCTCCAACGTTGGCAGAGCACGCCGGAGTAGTTGCCCGCATGATATAAAGTAAATTCAGTCGTCTAGGAGTGGGAGGACGACAGCACTCCACGCGGAAACAGCTACCATCTAGCTATACCCATGGCTATGAGACTTTCTAGATAGCTGACATAGAGGTTTGCATGCTGCTGACGGGGATTTGGTGAATGAGCATGAAGTTCTCCTACCATGGAACAAGACGCCGTGAAGCAGGATTTGCTAATTATCTCAGTTCATGTACCGGATTTTTTTCCTTAGTTCGCTTCTTGTATCGTGCTAAAGATGACATGTAATTGAATGCAAAGTAGACGGCATTGCTTTCGAGACCAGTGGTGTTCGTTGCGTTGGAGAATCGACTTGGTGTAGCTCACATGGCCTTGCGAGTCGTCGAGGTACGGTCACAGACGAGGGACATCTGGCTGGCCTGCAGCAAGGCCCTTGGAATCTCGAACCTGGCAACTCACTAGTAACTATCTCTTTTCCAGAAATAAGGCACTGCGACCGATGTATGCGTGATAAAGATATTCATTTCTTCGACTGGCTGAGACATCAGTCTTGTTGTTTGCGTGAGTTGTGAGGGATGTTGGCACTGCTCAACTTGAGGAAGCTGCTTTTGATGGCCCCGTGTCGAAGTCTTGGATTCGTTGTATATCTTTTTCGCAAGATATGTGAGTACAATTTGCGACACGTGATGAGGAGGAGTGGTGAACGACTACGTCTCATAAAGGGAAATACTCACACGATGGTTTTAGCGGACAGGCTGTGTATGGCAGCCATACACTACATCAGCAATGGCCGCAACTACCGCGTCACTTACTTCACAATATAAAAGCCTTGTGGAAGATTCTGAAGGACACTGAGAGCTAAACGAGCTTGGTATCTAGCAGAATCCTATGGAAATTGACTGCCAGTTCGATACCTCATGTAAGAATCCGCAGAAGCGATCTGAAACTATCTTGAGGTAACCTGAAGTAACATTTACCAGAAACCTAGTTGTATAGACCGCTAAGTTGGCCAAGTCTAGGTTAAACGCAGCCTTCGTGAAATACAAGATCAAACTAGACTGGCGTTTGTTGACATGGAGAACACCATTACCTGGAGGCTATGTCATGATAGGATTGCGACAGATATAAAGGCTATCTGCGAGTTGGACCACCGCTACTATGACGACTAGACAATGCAGACGAGGAGCAGCTAAATGACCGAGTAAGATAAAATTCTTCGAGAAGTCACAATGGGAGGATGCTATACATATGTTTGTGCTGATCATGCCAGTGACGGATGACCTTCGCCAATACCTTTAAAGCCAATCATCGCTAAGTTCAACATTCAATTTTGTAAGACTCGTTTGGTTTCGATGCACGGTTTTCATTGGAAGAAGCTCCAGAGTAGTTGCAGGAACTCACTCATGGTGTCATCCAAATCAATGAAGTAAGATCAACCTGTCTCTGTCTACGTGATTCCTGTAAAACCGGCACCATCGATTTATGGCATAGAAGACAACAGGCCAGAACTAGGTTTGGCCATAAGCGCCTCGTGTCTCCCAGTTCAGACTGACAGCATTTAAAGTTTGATTGATCTCGAGTATTGGCCATAATCATGCTGCAGAGTATGGTGCTCAGGGAGAATGTTGAATCACGGTCGTGAGGCAGGAGGGATGAGACCTTTTCTCACTGTTGCGGCTGCCTGAAGACTACTGCCTTGACACCACTCGATATGCCACATTATATATGCCTCGAATTATTCAATGCCGCATGCTACTGTGATTGCGTAGGAGCAAATACTTCTTTCCAGTAGGGCTGGAGCAACTCGGCCGAGACAAAGATCCGAGAACAGGTAATAGGTTCGATATTATGAGTCACTACTCGATTTTATGTACTTCCGTTGTTGCATTTGACATTATAGAATTGAAGTAGGGACAGACCCGAATGCTATAAAGGAAGATATTCTCAATTTGGCAAAATAGATGAAGATGGCAAAAAGAGTTCAACCCCCCCCCTCCCCCCGGTGCTGGACTGGGGGCTACACCTCTTAGTGCTCATGCTGGGATATTTCTGGTGCTCAGGCTGGGAACTGAACTCGACCTCGGAGCCTGTCGTCGAGTAGGCTATGGGCGTTTCTGATTATTTGTTGACCGTAAACCATTTCACCTCCCAGCCAGTTTGACCTGACCCATCGACCTAGACGGGCGTCTCCTTCCTGGTGGTAGGAATGGAATTGAGGGGACCTATATGGGCATCATTTGTGTTGTATTGTGTGGAAGGGTGGAATACACAGAGAGATGGGAAGTCTTTGTCCTGATTCATCGTGCCGAACCTGGATGATGATCACCGTATCACCGTACCTAGGTAGGAGGGCATTGGGTCAACGGTTATCTATCGGCACATGCAGCGCATCGATTTCATCATCAAGCTACGAATGCATTGAAGTACTCAGACGAGATGTCAGGGCAGCCTGGAAAATGCGATCAAGCGAGAATGAGAGCCAGAACGTTTCGGTGTAGTACCCCATACGTGGGCGTTGCATCCTCGCGACAAAGTCCAGATTGCCAGCGTCTTATTGATTCGGATTCGGAATGGTCGCACGCAACGATTGATCGGATGGACTCATCCAGAAAACTTCTTGCGTTCTAAAGAAAACTAAAAAATCACATTGCTGGCTTACCACACGCTTATATACAGCTCGAAGCTACCTAGAACATAAATTTTGCTATAGGAGGAAGACACGATGTTGATGAAATATCATTAAACAGAGGCCTAAAACTCTTTGAAGTAATATGCGGTATAGAGGAATAAGATTGCGTCAATGCGTTTTCCTCTGTTCAAACAGGTTGACGGAGTGAATCGGGGCTGCTCCGTGCACTGCGGGTCATGTGCTTTACGGCGTGACCAAATTTTCTCCCGCTAGCCGAATCGCGAATGGACTCAGCCGAAAGATTCCTGCCTGCGACCTCACCCGAGCTGCCTCCAGCAACACATCCCCATTGCCAGCTCAGCCCATCATGAACTCCTTCCGCTTCGCGCGCGCGGCCCTCCGAGCCCGTCCTGCTGCCTTTCGCGCTCCCCTCCAGCGCAGAACCTACGCAGATGCCGTCCCGGACAAGGCAAGCAGCCCGAGCCTGCATCCTCCGAGCCGGAGGCATCCCGAGTACCCGCTGACCATTTGCAGATCAAGCTGAGCTTGTCCCTTCCTCACCAGGTACGAAGTCGATAATATCCGAAACAATTGAACGAGAGACGAGACGACGATACGAGGGGGATGCAAGGCGGAAGCCAATTGAAGGATCAGAGCTAATTGCCGCAACACGCAGTCCATCTACCAGTCCCAGGATGTCGTCCAGGTCAACATCCCCGCCGACTCCGGCGAGATGGGTGTCCTCGCCAACCACGTTCCCGCCATTGAGCAGCTGAAGCCCGGTCTGGTCGAGGTTGTCGAGGAGAGCGGCCCCAGCAAGCAGTTCTTCCGTACGTTACGACCGAGATGGAGCTTTTCGAAGGGATAGGAGAAAGGCAGGAAACTGACGATGATTGTGTTTATAGTGTCCGGCGGCTTTGCCGTTGTCCAGCCCAACTCTGTTCTCAGCATCAACGCCACCGAGGGATACCCCATTGAGGACTTCAGCGCCGAGGCTGTCAAGTCCCAGCTTGCCGAGGCCCAGAAGGTCGCCAGCGGCAGTGGAAGCGAGTTGGAGATCGCCGAGGCGAAGATTGAGGTCGAGGTGAGTAATTTTCCAAACAAGGCCCTCGAGCGGTACAGTAGGGATGCTAATTATAATTCATAGGTTCTTGAGAGCCTCCAGGCTGCCCTGAAATAGAGAGTGTAAAAGAAGGTCGTGGCAGACACATGACGTTGTACATCAAGACCCGGATTCCCTTAACTTTATCTAACATCGCATAATTGAATCCACTTGCGACGTTTCTAGCGCTCTTTCTCTGTCAAAACCCATCATTGCGTGTGTGCCATGGATGCTACGTCATTTACCAGAAGGTCTTTCCACGGAGTGACTACATGGGTCGAGGTTGCCTACTGGGGACCAGGTCGGTCCTGTCGGCTATCCATTCGAGGAGGCCCTTGCCTGTCTTGCGTCTTTTGATCTCAAACTACTTATCCTGACCTCACTCGAGGCAAATTCTCTTCCCTAGGTAAATGTTCCGCATCGCCCGTCAAGGAGCATCGTTTCTCAACCCCCCACGGCCCATCCATTACAGTACCAATTTGCCACTTCCCACGACATTATACAGTATTATTCAATCCTTACCCATTGTTTCTCAGTATGGAGGATCCCTTCGTTGATAATTTCTCCCCGCCCCGAGCCAACGTCTTCACAGCCGAGCCCGAAGACGGTGACATCCCAGAGGGTCTTGTATCCGCGCGACGACAGAAGTTCTCAAGCCGGCCTTCTACTCGTGTTACGAGCCGCAAGCCATCACCATTAGGTGCGAGGGAACGCGAGAGCACTTGGTCTGGTTAGGGCCAACGCACCAACAAGGTCTTCGCGAGACCAGCAACGCGCAACACTCAAACTGCAGAGTCCAGGGTGCCGTCTCAAGACCACTCATTCTTTGGACAGAGTCCAGAGCAAGCCTCCAGAAGCAACAGTCAAGCCCCCATACCTGCATTACGTCTGCGGAAGTCAATGTACCTCACTCCTCCACGAGTAGCCGACCCAGACTCTATGCAGCTTCGCCAAACCGCTTCGACCGGTCGGCTTCGAGCAAGACCGAGCAGGACGCTCAACCGGCCTCCAAAGATGCCAATGGCATCGATTTCTGCCTCATCAAGCCCGCAGAAGCCACGACACTTTTCCAACAACTCCGT